ATGGGCAGTCTCCTCCCATACAGTTTACTGCCTCTGAAAATCTGCGAGAGGGTCAGCTGTGGGTTGGTTCTGACTCCGAGGTACTTGACAACAACAAGGAGATAGGACAAATGTGAACAAGAGAGTGATTTGTGCCACAGCTGTGCACTTTGGTAACAAACCTTAGCAGAATCTGGCCCCTTTGGTGGGCAGGCGTTTCCTCACCTGGGAGCCCCGAACCCAACTTTGCTTGTACAGTAGCCTGGAGCTCTGCAGTTAGTTATACAGGATCCTTAAACAGCCACCTCTCTGACCTCTCTTGTTCCATTTCCAGCATGGCTTTGGTTCTAAGCCCTCCTTATATATATCTGTGTACCCCCTTTTCCTGCTGTCCACTTCGCTGAATGTCCATTTGGACTTACAGTCTTCGAATCCTGATCCTGCTGACCCCAGCTTTCTAGAATGGATGCTATAGTATGCTGCTTCCATCTAATTTAGTCCAAATTCTCAGAAACCTTTCCTGCTCAATTTTCGTAGGGACTGGAGACCTAGCATTTCCTTCTCTTTTATTTACTGCACATTAGTTTTGCTTCCCTTAAATTACAGCCTTACCAACTTCCCGTATTCACTGTCGTGCTCATGGGGCTCACCCTGAGCCCTCTTATCCCCTCTCGTTACCTCTCTGACTTTAGCCATTTTACTCTAACCAACCACATTAATTCAGACAGCAGACAGGAGAAGCCCAGTCACATCAGTGATAAAGACAGGTCTTCCAGCACAGGCGTCTAAGATGTCAGGCAGCGCTTTGAACACAGGGGAGTCCGTGCACTTCCTTTTCTCCTTTTATCTCCTGTGAGTCAAAAAGTGTTACAGGCTGTGCAGAACACCCCCCTCCCTAGGGAAAAATTCCCCTTCAGCACATCTGAGCACACTTGACAGAGGATGGTGCCTCCCCGTAATCCCCTCACAACTGAGTGGCTGACCACCTCTCACATCACGTTGTGGGGAATGACTATTTTGTAACTGCACCATATCCTGCCTCTTTAACATGGAAGTTAGCATTTACAGCACACAAATTACGTTACACAGTTCAGTGTGTGACACTTGCTAGTCTACCTGCTCTATTGCAGACTGTAAACTTTGGGAGCTCTCTTTGCTGCCTTTGTTCACTTTTCCTTTAAGATGGAATGTATTTTCACCGTATCAGAATTCATCCCGCTCGTGAGAACCATTCCTC